AGGTTCGATTCCGGTCAAGGGCATGTACCTTGGTTGCGGGCACATACCCAGTAGGGGGCGTGCAAGAGGCAGCTGAATCGATGTTTCTCTCTCGTCGATGTTTCTAACTCTCTATCCCTCTCCCTCCCTCTCTGTAAAAAATCAATAAAATATATTTAAAAAAAAAACAAAAAAACAAACAAACAGAAATACCTTAGCATCATAATCTATTTCTTTTGTTTCAAACTATGAAATTAAATATTAAAAGATAATAGCAAAATAAAATATCATTGTCTACATCCAAATATCCACTAGAAGGTAAATGCCAAGCAGAAAAATATTTAAAGAGTAGTAACAGGCAATTCACAAAATAGGAAAGTTAAAAAAGATAAGAAACAAACAGGAATTAATTTGTACTGTTTTTTAAATAACACTAAGCCAAAGACACCAGAAACATTTGAGCCTTGGTATTAGAAAACAATTTACAAAGACAGCAAAAAACAAATATATTGCACATTTAGAAAATTTCGAAATGAAGAGATACATTTAAACACAACGTTAGCAAAGCATTTACTGTAATATAATTATTTTATTCCTAGAAACGGCCTTTAAAACACTTAATCCAGTTGCCTCATTGTATAATTGAAGAATTGGGAGCCTCTAACCATATAGTGGGTGTCATCTCAGCCCATCCTGATGGGGTCATATGTACCCAGTATGAATGGGGGAGACTTATTTTGTAGCATCACTCGACTTTTTTCTTCCTGGATAACAAAGCAATTGTTGTTAACCCTAGTTCCTAAGTTAATTAGCTTTAGTTCTTTTGAGTTGGAAACAGATGCAGAGACTTGAGAGGGTTCACCCAAGGTCACAACAGAGGGACATGAAAGTACTAGGATTTGAGCCTGGTGTGTTTGACCTTGGAGACCTTGTATTTTAAAAAAGCAGTTTTAAATGTTTGCGCTTTTTTTTATTTACACACAGAAAAATGCACCACTCTCAGATACAGTTCTGTGAGTTTTGACAAATGCCTGAAGTGATGAAGTATTATTGCAGTTAAGATGCAGAGCGGTTCTAGTTCCCCAAAGTGTTCCCTCATGCTGGTGCCTAAGTTGTCAACCTCTCCCACACCTCCAATTGCAGGGAATCACTCATGTGTTCTTTGACCATGAAGTTTTACCTTTTACAGAATGTTTTATACATGGAATCATATAATATGTAGCCTTTTGAATCCGGCTTCCCTTGCTTAACTTTCTACATTTGAAAACCATTGATGATGCATATATCCATAGCTTGTTCTTTGTTATTGGTGAATAGTATTCTGACTCATAGACATACCACAGTTTGTTTAGCTCTTCATCTGCTGAAGAAAGTTCATCCAGGCTTGGCAATTACTGTAGAGCTGCTGCAAGCTTTCCCCCACAGCTGTAGGATTCCTAGCTCATATGCCAAAAGTATGCTAACTTTATAAGAAACTGTCAAACTGTTTTCCAAGTTGTTGATACTGTGTACTCCCACCTGCTATGTGTAAGTCTCCATTGTTCTGCATCTTCACCAGCTCGTGTAATTGCCAGTGGTTTCTAATGCTTTTATTTTAGCTTTTCTAATAGGGGTCTAGGAATATCTCATTTTCGTTTTTAATTTGATTTTTCCTATTGACCTAGGATGTGTTCCATCATTTCAAGTGCTTATTTGCCATTTGTATATCTTGAATGGTTAAGTGTCTGCTCACATCTTTTGCCTATTTTTATGGGATTGTTCGTTGAGTTTTGAGAATTCTTTATACATTTAGATATTCAGAAAGCTGTCCTTTGGCAGATATGTGATTTGTGAATATTTTCTCCCAGTCTGTGGTTTGTCTTTTCACTGGCTCAATAATGTCTTTCATGTAGTAAAACTTTAAAATGTTGTTGATACCCAAATTATATATTTTGTCTTATTATTGCGCTTTTGAGTTTATGTCTAAGAAATTTTTGCCTAACCCAAGGTCTCAGAGGATTTCTCCCATATTTTCTTCTAAAAGTTTTATAGTTTTATATTTTACATTTAAGTCTCTGACTAATTTTGAAATAATTTTTGTATAAGGTATAAAATATAGGTTGAGGTTCTTATTTATTTGTTTGTATATTTATTTGTCCATTTATGTAGATATAGATGTTCCAGTTGATGCAGACTCTTTGTTAAGAAGATTGTGCTTTCTCCAATATTGCTTTTGTGTCTTTGTCAGAAAATATTGAGCTTATTTGTGTGGGTTTATTTTATTCTTCAATTTTATTGACATACTTTTCTATCAATACCATACCACCACACTGTCTTAGTGTAGCTTAATAATGTCTCAAAACCCAGTAGTGTGCATCCTCCAACTTTGTTCTTCCCTTTTAAAGTTGTTTTTATTTCTCATTCCTTTCATTTGCATGGATTTTTAGAATCAGCATAGCTACAAAATATTCTGCTTGGATGTTGATGGAATTTTACTTATAGACCAATTGGGGAGAATTGGCATCTTAACAAGACTCACTTTTTGAACCAGGAACATAGTATATGTCTGTATTTATTTATGGCTTTGGTGTGTGTGTGTGTGTGTTACTTTTAAGTACTTTAAGGAGATATATAAGGGAGAGAAAAATAAAACAAACAATAAACTCACCATTGAAATAGTCTTTCTTCACATTTCAATTGGCTCCCCAATCTGACTACTATTTTTTACTTTGCACAGTCCTTAGGTGGTTTTTTTTAAAATTCCTTCCAGGATGTTTAGTTGTAATTAGTGGGTGAGACAGCCTGTAGTGTGCGTATTCCCTCTTATTCGGAGTTGAAAGTGAATTGGTTTTAATTGTCATTGTCATAGTCTTTCTTGTTTTATGATGCCATGGATTGTGGAGCAGCCAGAAGTGGTTTGTTTGTGTTGTCTTTTTCTTTTTCACTTTTAATAAACCAAATGTGAGACGAGTTTCATAATGTGGGGTTGTTAAATGTTCAAAGGATTTATCTTGGGTGGGTGGAGGCCTAGGAAAAAGGGTGGAACACAGAACCACTCTTTTTGAGCCCAGTAACAGTTACTTAGATTCAGGAGTTTCTTCCATTCTTGACATTGCCATGATGTGTCACTTAAAAATAAATAAAATGAAAGTTGATGTGACAGCAGAATCACCAGGGTCTGTCTAGGAGCATTTCTTAGCAGGCATTGCCTTGCTGACAAATAGCAGGGGTTCGCCTATGACACAGGATCTCACAATATTATCATTTATTTAGCCCCAAAGAGAATACAATGTCCTGTGTCCAAACACAGCTCAGCTGAACGTTAAAGTCCAGTAGCATCCAAACAATATTATCTCCCCTTCATCTTAAGAGGGCTTATTTTCAAAGCTTTAGTAGCAGTATCTTCTAATAGAGATACTTTATCTCCAAGACTTTGATAATCACTAAGTGTGTTCTCTCAAGCACAATATAAATGGCTTATTTTACTTATATCCTACATTTTAGGCTATTTGTAACATAGACACATGCAAACAACGTATCTGCTTTCTTTTCTGTTTTCTAGTTTTATAATTTGTAAGTCTCCAAGGTTGCTTTTTTACAAATCAAGATGCTATTCTAGAGAGCCTCAGACTGATTTTTTTACTAAAGCAGAGTGCTGCAGAACCGTCCAGAGCATGAACTACAGTGATCCACCAAAGGAAATCTTACCTGCAGTTTTTGATATACCCTGAGGGTATTCATATACCTTTTGTTAGAACAGAAGTTTGATTCTACAGCTACTCATTCAGAAGTAGGGTAGGGCTGAATTCTGAATGAGATCAAAATTTGTATATTTGTGAAACCAGGGAAAATACTTAATTTTTTTTCGCGGCAGAGGGGTTATGCTTTTCCTATGGAAATTGTTAAATGTTTTTAAGCAGATAATGTGTTACAAGTCATATTTAAAAATTATGTAACCAAATTAAGATGTATAAATATCAATAAGAGTTGGAAAAACTCAGAGACTTCACGGAGATTAAAGTGTATATTTTGTCCACAAAAGTATGCAGAAACATGATTGTAGGGGTGTTCTCTTAAGCCCTCAACTAGGGCATTATGAACTGATTTTAAAATAGAAAGGTAATTGTCCTTTCAAATGAATATTTGGCCCTTCCTTTAGTCATCCAAATAAGGGTGAGAGCTCAATTACAGTGGACCCAAAGGCTTCTAATGGATAAAACATGTCACAATATATATGTAAATGCTTTTTTCATAATCTATAGCCTTTGTAGTTTACACATTCCATTTGCATTATACATTTCATTGTCATCATAATCTTTTGGTTTGTTCAGGCATCTACAAAAACCCCCATTTAGAGCTAATGGAACTAAGGTGAAAAGAAACGGTATAAATCTCCATCGTAGACACAGTGGAGAAATGCTGGCACTGAGACTCTAAGGCCGCTGCTCCCTTTGTGACAACTGGCTTCCTCAGCAGCGAAGAGCCCAGCCTGCTGATTCATAATCCTGGGATTAAAGTTCTCACGAAATAGTGTTTGAGAGGATATTGTTTATTATCTGGGAAGCCACATGCGTTTCAGTGTAAATGTCACCTCTCCTGGGAAACTCACCTTCATGAGACCAGTTAAGATTTTCATCGGCGAACTTACTATTACTACTATGATAAATTAACCACTTTTTAGAAGTGTTTTGTCTCACCTAAAACAATCCTGTATACCCCACTTTGGGAAAGACAAATTAATTATGAAGTAATTATTCCGTACCACTTCTCTTCCTGGGTAATGTGTAATAAATTTTATGAGGATATGCTCTCTTCACTTCTGTATTTATAGTTCCTACCATGGTGCCTGACACACAGTAGGTCTCAGTCAGAATGTGTTTAGTACATTAATATTTGCCTATTTATGTGAATAGTGTATGTGTATAGTATATGGCTGCTGTATGGCTGTATATATTTTCCTTTGTTATGAATATAGAAATGTTTGCCTTTCTCCCAAGTCCACTTGGGTACAAAATAAGCATATTTTCTGCTCACTTTTACAGGATTATACGTTGACAATGTATTTTCAACAAGCCTGGAGAGATAAGAGGCTGTCGTATAATGTCATACCTTTAAACTTAACTCTGGACAACCGAGTCGCAGACCAGCTCTGGGTGCCTGACACCTACTTCCTGAATGACAAGAAGTCGTTCGTGCACGGCGTGACCGTCAAGAACCGCATGATCCGCCTGCATCCCGATGGCACTGTCCTCTACGGCCTCAGGTCTGTAGTGCGCATTGCAGAATGGGACTTTTCCTGAACCAAGCAGTTGCCGCTTTCTGTCGGAGGGGAACCTGTTGTGCTGTTTTCCTTACTCCTCCTTCAAGCCTCCCAGGAAGCAGTTAAACCTCCTACCCCGCAGACATCTGATAGCTCAGGGGAGCTTGCTTACAGAGGGACTTAGCCACAGCTAAGACTAAGCGTTTTTCTGAATTATATCAGCTGCTGATCCTCAAGCTGCTTTCTTTAAGGAGTAGGGATAAACAATGCCAAAATAGCTGAGACATAGAGTTTCCTTAAAGTGGAGAAAAACAATCGTGAATGCCTAACGCGTGTTTGAATGTGGCAGATGCGCTCTTGTCAGTTGCTCCTAAGCTGCACGAACCGGGCCTGGTCCTCTGGTGACAGGAAGGCTTTTTGCGTCCTTTCACCCTCCAATGAGGAGTCAGACTTGCAGATAAAGTCATGATCTTAGATTTATTATTAATGAACTTACACTATTAAATCTATTAAATGTGCCTTTCGTCAGAAAAGAATGGTGAGGTTCTGCTGTTTGGATGAGGATAAATTGTAAAATAAGACAGTTTCTTCTATGAAAGTTTGTTTTATGTTAAAACAAATAGTTTCTTTAAAAAGGAAGAAAAAACATTACAGTATAAAGAATTCCTCTGCATTATAGTGCAAGAAACTCTGAATTCGAAAATGTTCAGTTGTCTTTGATCTATTCCATTTTCCATAAATATGTAGTTTCTTTACCATAGTAACGATGATGATAACAGTCGTATTATTTCGTGAACACTTGTTAGAAGTCAGCTAAGTACTTTCCATGCATTAATATAGTCAATGTTTACAACAGCCTCGTAAGTTAGAAACTGTTACAATCTTTATTTTCAAATAAAGAAACTGAGGCTGATGCAACTTGCTAAGATCACGAAGAGAGTAAACTGTGAGGATGGGATTCAAACACTTCCCGGTTCAGACCCAGAGCTCCTAGCCAATACACTGGGATAACTCTCGCTGAAACATTTTTCTTACCTGGGATATCTCGTTTTCATTACCTACTCTATTCAGCATGCCAGATGAATACGTTGTCTGGATCCTTTTAAACTGGCTTCTTTATCATGTCTATAGAGAAAATGACCTTTGACTGTGGAGAGAGGGAAAGTATGAAGCAGGGAGAGAGCATGTTTGTATCCTGTGTTAGCCTCTGAAGGTAAAGAGATGAATTGGAAATTTATGATTGTCTCATTTCAGTCTTTACCTGCCGTCTAGATAAACCTGGTCAAGGTTGTCAACACATTCTTAAATGCACCGATGCAACGCTGAATGGATGGGAAATAAGCAGTCACTATGTCTTTGGAATTGAGAGGGAAAAAAGAGGACCAATATAGATGATAAATATGTCTTCTTTATATTGCTAAGCCAATAATCAGACAGAGAAAACTGATGATTGTTCATTCTTATCATTAAGAGGCACTGAACATAAGAGCGATAGCTCAGACTCACAGCAGGAGGGAGTCATCGCTCTCCCCTCCCCACTCCCAATAAGGGTTGTTGGCAAAGTAGGCAGGCTCCTAAAGACACCGGGCATGCGCAGAACTAGGACTTCTGCACAGAGAAGGCTCTGAATTGCGATGGTCTTATTGGTTGTATTATTAATTCTGAATTTGAAATTGATAAGGTTTTTTAGGGAATTTATAAAAGTCCCATTCCAGTTTCTACTGATAGACAGAACAATTTGTTTCATGGCTAGAAATTGAATGCAGATCACACATTCTTTTCTCAGCTCTAGGAGGTTCATTTGTGAGAAATAAATAAAAGAAATTCAATTAAAATTACCACTGCCATGGTTGATTCAGTTCTATGTGGCCTCTCTTCCTATTTACTTACCTCCCACCCTGGTTAGTCTCTATTATTGATAGTCTAGTAAGAAATGTATCTTATATTTGTGGCATGAACTCTGTCATTTCCATTTCAAAAACATTGTATGATTTCCCTTAAACCAAGCCTTTCCTTTTATTCTCATCATGTGTTATCACTCTTCCATTTTCTCAACTGATTTGAAGATCTACAGGATACAGAAATAATTTTTGCAAGTTATGAATAATGCTTTTTTGAAACTTAAATTTATAACTTGTGGCTAAATAATCATGAAACTCTTGAATATAGATTCTCCCTTCACTCTTGGCTGGTTGATAGTTCAGTTGTACCAATTTGATCTTAAAATCAAATACCTCCTGTCTTTTATGATCCTATTTAGAAATTTCTTTCAAGAGATATGGCTGAAATGGGAAGAATATTTTCTTGGGAATAACCTAGCTGTAGTTGGTGACAAAGGACTTTTCAGTTCACTAGACTGAAGTATTCCTAGCTATTTATAAAGCAAGTATTTCAAACAGGTCAATTGTCTTTTATTTTAAAATAAAATTGCTCCAGTCAAATTATTTTCAGAACACTTTGAGGAAAAATGACACATAAAAATATAGGTAGTTGTTGTCATTGTTTGTTTCTTTTGTGTTTTTTGTTTTGTTTTTGTTAATGAACCCAGCAAAAGTACTAGCAGGTAAAAAATCAGGTTTAATCTGTTATTTACATGACATCATAAATAATGTTACATAGATATAAATCAGATCATTATTGACTTTGAAAAAGGAAGATATTTGTTAGTTTTCAAAAAGGTAATGAATAATTGCATTGTACAGAGAATCAGGAGACCTGCATCCTATTCTAGTCGTAAAATTAGTGGTTCTTACGTAAATCAGTTCTAAATTTCATTCTAGCTCCCAAAATCCCATATTCATGCAATTTTGCTAATGTGTGGTGTAAATATTTTTAGGACTTCTACTTCATTATGCGTATGGCTTGCAAAGCTTTACATAATATTTTAGTGCTTCAGAAATTGCATTTATCTCCTTGAAAAAAAATCTTATCAATTAGGAAAGCAAAAACAAAATCATAGCATTCAGGTAAGCAAGAAAGCCTGAATTGTCAACTTTGGCATCTCTTATGAGCATAACAATGTATATTTTTATTAAAACTTACACTCTGAACCCAAATGGACTGTATATTATTTATGACAAGAGACTAATATTATATCATAAGCATGTTATCACATTAAGAAATCTTCAACAAACACAATTAAAACAAAACGCCTTTTCTATGATGAGATGATGCATATTTAACATTGAAAATTTAGAAAATTCAGATAAGTTATGAATAAAACTACCCTTCATTTTACCACTCAGAATTAATCATTAACCTGTACCTTGCTATATACTCTTCCAGATATTTTTCCTAGCACAAAAAGCATATAGGTAGATTTTCATAAAAAGAATTCACATTATTTTTCTTTAATAATGAATCCTATATAATAAAAGAATAATATGCAAATCGACCAAACAGCAGAACTGGTCGTTATGACGTGCACTGACCACCAGGGGGCAGACACTCAATGCAAGAGCTGCCCCCTGGTGGTCAGTGTGCTCCCACAGGGGGAGTGCCGCTCAGCCAGAAGCCCAGAAGCCAGTTTCACAGCTGGCAAACGCAGCGGCGGCAGGAGCCTCCCCCGCCTCCACCACAGCGCTAAGGATGTCCGACTGCCAGCTAAGCCATCAATCGGACATCCCCCAAGGGCTCCTGGACTACAAGTGTATGCAGGCCAGGCTGAGGGACCCCCCCACCCCGAGTGCACGAATCTCATGCACCGGGCCTCTAGCATATAAATATGCTTGCCATGTGAATACATCCCTTCTCACTATCAGTCTTTAACTATTATAACACATATTTGGGATATAATTTTTTATTTAATATAGGATATGGCTTATGGTTTTGAGATAAGGCACAATATGTAGTTGTTGCAATAAAATGCAGGACTACTATTTAAAAGTTATTTAATATTTTAGCAACAAAGCTGTTGGTGGCACAATTTATAATCTCACAGTTGTGCTGTTGTAATTTGTAGTCTCATTGGTTCAATAAATGGCCCAGGAGATGTACTGATGTGGATTTTACTAGGACATTTCTTGTGGACAAAATGACTTCCTTACTCTTTCAGTAGTCGCTGACCTATCTAAAAATAGCTCTTTGTCATTCGGTATGTGGGGTGAGCCCTTGACTTCCTATGTCTGTATACCTCCCATATGTAACATTAGATCAGAAACATGTCACTTCTGATTAAAGGTTCACATTCTTGAAGAAAGATTCAGCAGGAAGCAGAAGGCAATTCAGCCACCTCCTGCTATGCATGTTCTGTCATTGGGAAAATGGCAAAGGATAACGTTAGCCTGTAATGAATTTAGACAAGCAGGATTATTAATTTTATCTTCCTCTGCTACTCCTGAAGCTTTATCACAGGATGTTAGGCAAGTGAATACCTGAGCAGCCACTCCCCACGGAAATATAGCCTATCAGGCACTAGCATATCACTTTTTGACTCAGGTTTCCTCTTTGGTTTAATTTATTTTCACAGAGATTTTCAGTGAATGTATTTTTTCAAGCAGAAAACAAGTATTTTTTTTTAGACATGTGACCCTGTTCTCCAGATTTTCTTCGTTCTTCTGAGCAGGAAAAATCACCTTCATGTATCTCCACCTCTGGGGGAGAGGATGCATATAATAATAATTTTATAAAATACGTCCTCTTTAAAGAGCTGTCAGCAATTTTTCAAAGAACATTTTTTTGCCCATGATTTTCCCGATAAGATAAAATTACTTAGATTTTTAAAAATGCATTTAGAATTAACTTTTGACATCTTCAAGTTTATCTTTTTTTAAAAAAAAAAATGATTTTACAGAGGAAGAGAGAGAAAAACATTGATATCAGAGAGAAACATCAGTCGGTTGCCTCCTACACACACCTAACTGAGGACAGAGGTCACAACCTGTGTACTGTGTGCCCTGACCAGGAATCAAAGCTTCATAGGACAATGCTCCAGCCAACTGAGCCACACCGGCCAGGGCTCATCTCCTTTTTATAGAAGAGAATGCGGGGGGCGGGTGGTGCTC